CCCAACCAGCCCAGCTGGCCACAGCTGTGAGCAAGCCTGGTGAAACCCGGCCTAAATGACCAACCCCAGTATCATGATGGGAGACACTGGTTAACAGGCCTTGGCTGGGTCCTGGTTTTAGGACCTGGAAGTATTGGTTTTCTTTCTACAAGCATCCAGCTGCTTCTGTAGGAAGTAATTTCAAGCTGTCAGCCCATTCCCTGCTTTCCAGGAACATTCAAAAAATAAAATTGGACTGAAACAGAGACACATACCTTTTTCTTTTCCTTCTTTTTGTGCTGTTTGCGGGGCTTGAACTAAGAGACTGGGTCCTGTCCCTTGGTTTTTTCACTCAAGGTTGGTGCTCTGTCACTTGAGCCACCTTTCCATTTCTGGCTTTTTTGTCATTAATTGGAGATAAGAGTCTCTGGACTTGGAACCACAATCCTCAGATCTCAGCCTCCCAAGCAGATTATAGGCGTGAGCCACCTCACACCAGGCTCCACACTCCCCCTCCTTATTTTTAGCTTAAAAAAATTAGTTATGCCAGAGAGGGTTCATTGGTAAGTCTCCAAACATGTTTACAATATATCCTAGTCAATCTCACCCCTGCTCCTCTTTTACCCTTCTCCTTTCCCCCAAACAATAGCATCAGATTTCACTGTACTATTTTCATAATTGCAAACACTCTTAGTTCATGCTGTACTCATTTAACTATAGATTGTTTAGAACTGCACAGCGATATTGACTAATATGACTTTTCTGTTCTAAAACAGTTATGGCCAACACAATATGACAAACAGAATCACACCATTATGTATCATCCTCAGGGTGGATAAGTCAGGAGTGAGTAATAATAAATATACCATGAGATTCAGAATTGTTCCAGCCAAACTGATCACAGATGGAAAACACAAAATTTGAATATGGCCTTTATAGGTAAAACTCTGAGGATGGAGAAAACATGGCAGGTAGAAGAAAAGGATAATTGTATTTTTATACATTGCTCACAGTTAGAAAATGTAATAAAAATATCTTACTATAATTATCAGCAAATAGAAATAATCTAGGTATCCCTCCCCCACAGTGTAACCCCTGCTTTCACTGTATTTGATGTCAGTATAATTTGTGGAGGGGAAGGGGAAAAACAAGTTGTTTAAATAAGGATACAGGTGGACCCATTGCAACAATGAGAAGTACAAGTCGTTATGTCAAAAACAAACTTTACAACTTTGGTGGGGGGAGGGCGGGAGGATTGGGTGGGGGGGGTGGAGGGAGGATGGGAAGGGATGGGAAGGGGAAACAAAGGAGGAGGCTACAATGCTTGATAAGAAATGTACTCATTATCTTGCCCATGTAATTGTAACCCCTCTGTACAGTATTTTCACAATAAAAAATAAATAAAAATTAAAAAAAGAAATAATCTAGGTAGAAGAAAATGTAGAAGAAAGATGCAAACATACGAAAAATATAGAAGCTGACCACCAGTGGCTCACATCTCTAATATAGCTACTCGGGAGGCTGAGATCTGAGGATCAGGGTTTGAAGATAGCCCAGGCAGGCTCTTATCTCCAAATAAAAGGCGTAAAAGTGTAAAAGTGTGACTTAAATGGTAGAACACCAGTCTTGAGTGAAAAAGCTAAGGGAGAATGTGAAGCCCTGAGTTTAAGCACTAATATTGGTGCATAGGTGCATGTACATACACACACAAAGGTAGAAGACATATAGAAGAAATATTTCCAAAGAAAGACAGTATGGAAAACTGAATACAAAGAGTTAGACACCCTACTCTAGTGCAGAAGCTATCACAAGTAGATTAACTGGAAGTAGGGGTTGGTAGGTCACGTTGATGAAATTTGCTAGTCTGGAATCTCAGGAGTAATCTGATGTCATGTGGTGAAAAGGTCAACAGCAATGGGCAGTGGATTCGGCTGGTCATTCAACCTGATTTATCTATGTGTTCACAGGTACTGCTGTCACTTGGCTAACATTAGAACAGTTCAAATGATTGCTTCATTTCCCTTATTTTCTTCCTGAAGAGCTTTGCTTTATCTGATTTATTAAAGTCCTATTTGCTAATGGTACATCGGAAAACTTGGGGAGAAGTCAGTTTTGACTTTATCTAGATTATAGCTTTTTGTTTTGTTTTGTTTCCTGTGTTAATCCTAGGGTTTGAACTCAGGGCCTGAGTACTGTCCCTTAGTTTTTTTCACCCAAAGCTGGTACTCTACCAGCAACTCTTGAGCCACAGCAACTCTTTTGACTTTTTGATGGTTAATTGGAGATAAGAATCTCAGATCTTAGCCTCCTGAGTAGTTAGGATTACAGGTGTGAGCCACCAGTGCCCAGCTAGGCTTTTTAATAGAATGTTTGGTGTTTGGCCCTTTCCTCCTCCTCCTTTTATATATCTAAAGATGTCCTGAGTGTGTTGATACCTGTCACCCCAGGTTCTTGTGGCAGAAGAACCATAACTTTGAAGCCAACCTGTGCTATATAGCCAGGCCCTGATTCAAAAACAGTCTCTCTCAGGTGATTGTCTGTGTTCATGGCAGTAGGTGGACTTCAGTGTTGGACAGACATGCCTATTCTTTGGAATAGTATAATTCAATTCATAATTTTGTTGAGCAGCAACTACACTTGTCCACGTGTACATGGAGGGTTACACAGGGCACTTATTGGCCCAATAGGGGAAATACCAGTTAGGAACAACACCACATTGGATACACAGCTGTCACATGCAGAAGAAATGCTTGGCCTTTTCCTTGTCTTACTGGTCTTTGTGGTTTGTCCCTGGTGTTGTGGGATCTCTGTATCTGGTGACCAAAGTGGACTCACTTCCTTTAATTTAGTCTTACTTCATGCTCAATGCTGTCTCAGATTCCTGAGGACTTAGGGGATAGGGGTGTGTGTGTGTGTGTGTGTGTGTGTGTGTGTTTGTGTGTGTGTGTGTATGTGTGTGTAAAACATCCCCTGGGAGTTCCCAAAAGGCTGAATTTTAAGAAAATTATGTCATGCCCTTCATTTTTCAGAATTGGTATTGCACATAGAGTTCTACTGTGGGTAAGTAATGTACAAAAAAGGAATTTGAGCCTGGTGCTGGTGACTTACACCTGTAATCCTAGCTACTAAGAAGGCTATGATCTGAGGACATAGTTCCAAGCCAGCTGGGTCAGACAAATCCATGAGATGCCATCTCTAATTAGCCAGCAAAATACTGGAAATAGGGTTCCAGCGTCAAGTGAAAAAGCTAAGCAAGATCCTGAGGCCCCAATACTGGTACAGAAAAAATAATAATAAAAGAAAGAGAAGAAAAGAAAATTGGGATGCAGAGCAAGTAGGGGTCAGTATATCTCAATAATCACAATCCTGAGCCTAGTATTGTGCCTGGCTCCAGCTTTAGATTCCAGACAACTTATTGTGTGTGCTTTCCTCTGAGATACGGTGCTCATTGACTGTAACTAAATACCTGAGATAATTAACTTAGAAAAGGGTTGCCACACTCAAAATTTAGGATGAAATCCATGGGCTTCTGGGGGGGCTGAGAGGTGGGAAGTGTGTGGTGGAGTGAAAGTACAAGAGGAGGTAGGAAGCAAGAGAATTAATTAGAAGGAGCTGCCCCACCCCCATTTTCCCCACAAAGCCCTGCCTCTTAAGCTTTCTACCTTCTTTCAATAGCACCAATCTGGGGTCTGGCCCACAACACATGGCTTTTGGGGGATATATAATATCCAAAATATCTGCCAAGAACATATAATAGTGCTTTCCTCACGGAGGTTGGGAATTAAGTGAGACAATGTACTTTGGACTTTGAATTCTTGATATGGAAAGTCCAGTAACTAACCAACCAGATGTTCAGGGAGTCTAGCAAGGAAGGTCTATAATGGCAACTAGCCCAGGAAGACCTTGAAGAGATAGAAGGTAGAACAGCAGTAGAGACATGAGATGAGAGAGTAGGCTGGAGTGGGCCAAAGAGAACTTGGCTTATCCTCTGCTATGGTTGGAATGATGGTGTCCCCTCCAAAATTCACATTGAAACTTAATTCCCTATACAACTGCATTAGTAGATAGGCCCTAACAGGATTAGCACCCTTCTGTACTGATTCAAGGCTGAAGGGAGTATGCTCTTTCAGAAGAGGACCCTAGGAGGAGCTCTAGTAACCAAGGGAAAAGGAGTTCCCAGGGCTGGGCATGGTAGTGCATGCTTCTAATCCTAGCAGTCAGGGAGCTGAAGTAGGAGGATCCTAAATTCTAGGCTTTAATGAAGATTTTGGAATCCAAGGCCTATACTATTATTTTAATCACTTGGAATGTACTAGCCAAAATGGTTTTCTCACTAATTCTACAAAGTATATTATCCCTAAAGTATATTATCCCTACCATTCATTTTTATTTATTTATTTTTTTATTTTTTTGGGTCTGGTCGTGGGGCCTGAACTCTGGGCCTGGGTGCTGTCCCTCAGCTCTTTTAGTTCAAGGCTAGTGCTCTACCACTTGAGCCACAGCACAACTTCCGGCTTTTTTCTTTTTTGCTTATGTGGTGCTGGGGAATCGAACCCAGGGCCTCAGGCATGCAAGGCAAGTGCTCTACCACTGAGCCACCTCCCCAGCCCTCCCTACCATTCATTTTGAATGGTAGCTAACATGAAGTTTGTGTGTGTGTATGTGTGTGTGTGCTTGTGCTTGTGTGTATACTGCTCTTGGGCTTGGACCCAGGACCTTACTATGTAATGCTCAAGGCTGATGCTCTGCCCACTTAAGCCACACCTTCACATCCACCTTTTTGCTGGCTAATTGGAGTTAAGAATCTCTCAGATTTGTCTGTTCAGGCTGGCTTCAAACCACAATCCTTAGTTCTTTGCTTACTGAGTTGCTAGGATTACAAGCATCGGGCATTACTGCTTGGCTCTACCATTATTTTAAGTAATCCAGTAGGATTAAGTACATTTACATAATACCACAAAGTTTGAAAGTGTTCTATCTAAAACTGAAACTCTGAACAAATTAAACACTTTTTTTTCCCTGGTCCACAGTATTTGTTTATTTATAAGAGAAACTACTCATCAGCCCACATATTTATGTTTCATAGTTCAGGAACACAGGTCAATCCAAAGAAATTCTTTACATTCCAAATTCACTTTGCACTCTGAAAGATACCTGCCTTCCTCATCTCCTCAAAACCTTTCATGGAATCATAATTTCTGTAGAAATCTGCATATGCCTTCTTTCTTGGTTCAGCCACACCAAACTTACAGAGAGCTGAGACCCCCAAAGAGACAATGAATGCTCCAACAATATGAATCCACAGACGCTTGGCCAGAAGACCCCACAACTGAGATTTTGCCAATGTACCAGAAGCCATGGTAGCAACTGTCCGGCGCTGTGGAAACCCGAACTCAGGCCTCAAATGCCTCACATCCACCAACACGTATCTTTTCTTTACCCTCCGCTCCTATTCTACTGTTCTATGAATCTGGGTACCTTACACAAGTGAATCAAACAGTATTTGTTCTTTGGTGACACTATTCTCTTATTCACTTAGTGTATATCCATACTGTGGCATATGGCTTTGTTTTACTCTTCTTAAAGGCAAAATAATATGTCATTGTATTCACACTTTGTTTATCCAATCACTGGTCTATGAACATTTGGGTTGCTTCCACTTTTGTTCTATTTTTGAATGACCCTAGAATGTATGCATGCAAATAACTTTTTTTTTTTTTAATCAGTAATGGGGCTTGAACTCTGGGCCTGGACACTGTCTCTGAGTTCTTCAGCTCAAGGCTAGCGCTCTACCACTTGAACCACAGCACCACTTCAGTTTTCTAAAAGTGGCTTATTGGAGATAAGAGTCTCAGAGACTTTCCTACCCTGGGTGGCTTTGAATGGCAATCCTCAGATCTCAGCCTTCTGAGTAGCTAGAATTCTAGGTGTGGGCCACTGGTGCCCAGCATGCAAATAACTCTTTAAGGTCCTGTTTTTATATCTTTTGGATATATATCATATTACATGGTAGAGTTCCATTTTTTATTATTTTGAGCAACCACCATTCTGGTTTCCATGGCAGCTGTGTCATACTTCATTTCAACTATCTAGGTACCAGGGCTCAATTTCTCACCTATTTAAATAGACATTCTTTTTTTTTTTTTTCTGTCGGTTGTGGCGTTTGAGCTCTGGGCCTAGGCGCTGTCCCTCAATTCTTCAGCTAAAGGCTAGCACTCTACCACTTGAGCTACAGCGCCACTTCCAGTTTTCTGAGTGGTTTATTGGAGATAAGAGTCTCACAGACTTTCTTGCCTGGCCTGGCTTTGAACCATGATCCTCAGATCTCAGCTTCCTGAGTAGCTGGGATTACAGGTGTAAATCACCGGTGCCTGGCTGAGACATTCATTTTGAATACATTAAAATATATAAAAATTAAAAAAAACTACTCATCTTGATTTGCAGATAAAATTATTTTACCCCTCTAGTTTAAAATAAAAATTTAACTTCTAAAGTTGGGCTGCAAGTAGTCTGATTCTGCACTATAGTGTTAGGCTGACCTCTGGTGGTAATACACATGCATTGCAGCCAAGTGCACATTCTGTTTTAGCTTTTATGTGCGCAGCATTACAACATTCCAAGAGATGTGTGGGTTTCACTACTGTTAAAATAGCTATTTTACTTTTCTCTACTTTTTAATGGTTTTTTTAATTGGTGGGGATTGGCTTTGCACTTGCTAGCTACCCTATTTCTTAAGTCATGAAAAGAAAATAGTTCTAAAAAAGCAATGGGCACTATGTTAAATTTCTTATTCTGTAATGCCAGTATTGGCCCTTAAACTTGGAGCCTCGTACTCATTGGGGTTTTTTGGCTCACAACTGACACTCTACCACTTGAGCCACAACTTGGTCAGCTTTTTGCTGGCTAATTAGAGATAGTCTCATGGACTTTTCTGTGGTCTAAGCTCACCAGTTTGGGTGGGGGGGGGGGCAGGGGGAGGAGTTAGTAGTAGTAGGAGTTAGTAGCTCTCATGAAGGAGGAAATCCTCTCCCTAGGCACTGGGAAACTTACATAAATGGTGACAATCTCAGCAGACATGTTTGTTTATGCTGGTAATGGGTCTTAAACCCTGGGCCTGGGCACTATCCTTTATCTTTTTAGATCAAAACTGGTGCTCTATCACTTGAGCCAAAACTCCACTTCAAGCTTCCTGCCAATTAATTGGAGTTGAGACTTTCATGAGCTTTCCTGCCTGTGTTGGCTTTGAGCAGCTCTCAGCTTCCTGAGTAGCTAGGATTAGAGGCACCAGCCACTGGCCTGGCTCCCCAGGTTTTCTTGTAGTTTTAGGGCTTACTATGGTCTTGGATCCATTTTGATTTCACTTTGGCACAGGGTGAGTTTCAACCTTTTGCATGTGGAGATGCAGTTTCTTCACGTCATTTCCTGAAGGGCTGTCCTTTCTCCACAGTCTGGTTTTGGTGCTTTGTCAGGAATCACTTGACTGTCTCTGGGTGGGTTTATTTCCAAGATTTCTGGTCTGTTCCATTGATCTGTCAGGTATTTTTGTTTGTTTTGGTGTGTGTGTGTGTTTTCCAGGACCATGTGGTTGAATTACAATGATGTATTTCTTGAAATCAGGTATTCTTATACCTCTAATTTTGTTGTTTTTATCAAGATTGTTTTGGCTATTTAAGTCTGTTGTGCATCGGTATAAATGTTAGGAGTGTGTGTGTGTGTATGTGTGTGTGTGCATGTATGCGCATGCAGGTACTGGGGCTTCAATTCAGGGATTTGCTCTCACTGAGCTTTTTTGTTCTACCATGTTTTCAGGTTCAGCTTTTCGTTGGCTGATTGGGGATAATAGTCTCGGATTTTTCAGCCTGGGATGGCTTTGAAAGGTGACCCTCAGATCTCAGCCTCCCGAGTAGCTGTGATTACAGGTGTGAGCCACTTGTGCCAGGCTTTGAGCTTTGTTTTAAAATTTGTTTGTTTGTTTTTTATTGCTCCTAGTGGCCATTTTCTGTTTCTTTCCAGAAAGGAGATGAAGTTGCTGGAGAAGTCTGATGCCCTGAAAGGTTCTCTGAGTGCAGAGCAGCAGCTGTCCCTAATCAGCGGCTGCACCACCTTGGCACAGGCAGTAGAGGGCGCTGTACACATTCAGGTGAGTTTAAGGACACCTGCACCCTATTGAGATTGAGACACTTGGAGGAGCCCAGTGTCCTCCCACCCATGGTAAGAACGGGGCAAAGTTAGAGGCAGTGGGTGGTGGGACATTTGGCACCTTCAAGGCCAGACTTTTATTTGAAAAACAGAGTCATCAAAATATTCCTCATGGGAACTTACTCAAAGGGTACTGCATGCATTTCTGGAATAATCACAATGAAACTCTTTGTATTATTAATGTGTGCTAATAAAAAATAGTAAAACGGCAACAACAACAACAAAAAATCCCCTATGCAGATGTTCTTTAAACACCTGTGACAATATTAGAGGTATTATAATTTTGAGAAAAACCGATTTTCTGGATTCCTAATACTATTTTACTTTGCTTTATCCACTTCTTAAATGAGCAATTATATCCTTGCTTAAAGTAATGGCTTAAAGAAATTGGCTAAAATGCAGGGTGCCTGTGGCTCTCACCAGTAATCCTAGCTACTTGGAAACTGAGATCTGAGGATCACATTTTGAAGATGGCTTGGAAAGTCTGTGAGATCCTTATTCTCCACCCCACCCCCCACCCAAAAGCCAGAACTGGAGGTATGGCTCAAATGGTAGAGCCCCAGCCTTGAGCCAAAAAGCTAAGTGAGAGAGCATGAGGTCCTGAGTTCAAACCCTAGTACCAGCACAGAAACAAACAGAAACACCATCTGCCTAAAGGAAAACCGTAAGTTTACTTCTACTATTTCTTTCATGCAGCTGGGGGTTATTTGCTTAGCTAAAGAGCCTGGAGTTATAGGTGTTCTGAGGCTGCAACTGTAGCTGATGGCAGTTATTAACTTCCTCTTACGCTATAGTGACTGTTGGACAGGAAAATTCTGTTCTGTATTTGAGGGGAGAATTTGGGAGAACCCAGAATGCTGTCTGTGTGTGTGTGTGTGTGTGTGTGTGTGTGTGTGTGTGTGTGTGTGTGTGTGTGTGTGTGTGTGTGTGTGTGTGTGTGTGTGTGTGTTTCTAGTCCATACCTATTCTGAGGTTCAGGTCAGACATAGGAGATGGAGTTTCTGGGTCTTTATAGCTCTAAAAATCCTCAAGTTCGTTAACAAATATGTTATCAAAACAAGGAAAGCGCTGTTTTTCAACCCCTTTTCTCTTTCTGTGATGTCATAGTCCCTCACTTTCTGGGATTTCAGTCTTCCTTGGGCAATAGCAGTCCCAAGGCATTACCACTACTACTAAGACTATTTTGTGCCAGTTTTCAGGCTTGAACTCAAAACCTGGGCTTTATTCCTGAACCTTTTTTTTTTTTTTTACTCACAGCTAGTATTTTACTACTTGAACCACAGTTCCACTTCCAGCTTCTTAGGTAGTTAATTGAATATAATCTCAGGGACTTTTCTGCCTGGGCCAGCTTCAAACTGCAATCCTCAGATTTCAGCCTCTTGAATAGGTAGGATTACAGGTGTAATCCTACCCCAAATATTATTTATCTTCATTTATTCAAGAGAAACAGGGCCCATGTTCACAAAACTGTTATTATAGGATGGTGATGGTGGTGGTGTCAGTACTGTCCCTCTCTCTTAGCTTTTCCCATTCAAAGTTGGCACTCTACCATGTGAGCCACAGGTCCACATCAGGCTTTTTGGTGGCTAATTGGAGATGAGGAAACCATGATCCTCAGATCTCAGTGTCTTGAATAGCTAGAATTACAGCCTCCATCTGCCTGGCATTCTCTCTGTCTCTTGTTAACCTGAAAGCTATAACATGAGATCTGAGAGAAGGTTGCACTGCTAGTGAGCTTTTGGCTACCCTGTTCCCACAGGATCTGAAGCTGTGGTCTCTGTACCCTTTTGGCTTACTGTGAACAACACAGAAGGTTTCTGGCTCTGGTTTTAGCAGAACAGCTTTTTTATGTGGGTTGTTTTTTTTAAAAGAAGACAGGGGAGACAGAAAAATTCATGTCTGATCTTGACAGTGGCAAAGACATGAGCACTTCCTGGTTTGGAGAACTCATGGTTTGGAACCCACGCTCAGGTCAGTTGGGCTGACAGGGTCTGTGGTTTGGGCACGTTTCTTAGCTTCTAAGCTGTGCTTCCTCATCTGTCAACTGAGGATGAGGCCTACAGCCCTAGGATGTTGTGGGGATCTCTGTTTGGGATCACATCTAAGGGGCCTCTCCTGAATGGTAAGGCTTCTCTTCACCAGCTAAGAAGTTTTAGAAAGAAACTCCTTAGTTGGTGCTGGTGGCTCATGCCTATAACCTTAGCTACTCAGAAGGCTGAGATTGACAGCTGAAGTTCAAGGTCAGCCAGGGCAGAAAAATCTGTGAAACTTTTACTTCCAGTGAACCATTGAAAAGCCGGATGTGGAGCTGTGGCTCAATTGGTAGAGTGCTGGCCTTGAGCAGAAAAGCCAAGCAATAGTGTCAGTTCAAGACCCAGTGCCAGCAAAAACAACAATAACAACAACTAAAGTCCTTTTAGAGTGACTATGATAGAGTTGTTTCTCAGTATCCCCAAGGGATTGTTTCCAGTAACTCATGTATGTACCAAAATCCAAGGATGCTCAAGACCCTTAAACAAAATGGTGTGGTATTTTCAGAAAATGTATGCACATGTACCCATATACTTTAAATTGTATAATCCCTTAAAGCAGTGTAATGCTGGAGAAATAGTTGCTAAACCACATCCTTTATTAATTACATTGAATAACATCAAAAGAAGTCTGTACATGTTCAGTACAGACATAGTTTTTTTGTGTGTGAATATTTTCAGTGTGTGGTATGATTAGTTGGTTGAATCTCTGCTTGGGGGAATCTACCAATGTGGAGGTCTGGCAACATACACTATTGAAGTGGCAGAAATGTCAGATTAGGATTACATATATGTAAAGGATGACATTGATCAAGATACAGTATATTCAGAAACTACTTTATTAAATGGCAGTTCCTTTGTACAACTAGTTAAAGATAATTAAAAAGAAATAAATAGCTAATTTCTATATATTGAATAGGATCTGCAATGTGGATATATAATGTGTTACTGTAATATTTCCAGTTTCTCATTTGGCAGAGCTCCTTATGCTGGCTTTTCTCCCTCCAGTGTATTCTTTATTGAAGCATTGCTGAGGCTTTCTCTTTATCATGTCACTTTTTGCTTTCTCAGATGTGTTTAGCACACAGTGCTTTCTGAATCCATGGTTTATATTGCCGTTAGAAGTTTTATCCCTTGAGCCAGCTGCTTGTGAGTTATACCTATAATGCTAGCTACTACAGATGCAGAGATCTGGAGGACTGTGATTTGAAACCAGCCCAGGCAAAAAAAGTCAGTGAGACTTCCATCAACTGGCAAAGAGTTGGATTGGAAGTGTGGTTCCAGTGGTAGAGCACCAGACTTAAGCAAGCAAGTTGAGAGAGCATGAAGCCCTGAGTTCAAACCCCAGTACCAACAAAAGGTAGAAAGAAGTGTTATCCTAGACTTATTACTAGCTCTCAAGCATTTAGGTTTTTTTCTCCTCTGTAACAGAATATCTCTGTTATGTTATTTATATGGTTATATTTATAAAACTTACAAGATTGCCAGAGCTAATGGATGGGAAGTCATGCCAGGAATAATGAATATGTTATGTTAAAAAATTCATTTTTAGGCAACTTTTTGGTATGTTACCCAGGCTAGTTAAATTTCTATGCTCAAGCAATCTCAGTCTCCTGAGTGCTGGAATTACAGGTGTGTACCACCGTGCCTGCTTCTGTTAAATTTATTTGCATGGTCATCTTACCTTTAGAAAGACAGTCCAGCAGATGATTTCTATAAACATCTAAAGCTAGCATAATTGAATTAATTCAGGCTAACGTATCATTATCACAGTGTAATGTCAACAATGGAGAACCTCCACAATATGAGCACATTTATAATGACTTGAATAAAAGGTGAGGCTTTCTTTGTGGAGTTAATTTTAGGAGTATTATGCTGCCTTTGTAAGACAAAGAAAATGCCTGGTATACATAGTACACCATAGGTTGTAAGTCTATTGGGTGATGAAAAGCACTGGAACTAAGTAAATAAGGGCTGTCTGTATTTCAAGTGTGAACTGAATGGGTTTAAGTGTTGGGAAGTGTCTGTTCAGAAGGATGCTGGGCCAAGCATTGGGAAGGCAAACAGAAAAGGATGTGGCAAATATGACTAGTTGTAATTCCTGGGAGGAACTGTGTGTTTCAGACTTTGTACCTCCAAGCTGGGCATCTGTGGTTCATGCCTATAATCCTAGATACTCAGGAGGCTGAGATCTGAGGATCACAGTTCAAAGCCATCCCAGGTAGAAATATCCATGCTATTCTTATCTCCAGTAAAGCAACAATAAGCTGGGAGTGGAGGTATGGCTCAAGTGGTAGAGCACCAGCCTTGAGAGGAAAAAGCTAAAGGACAGTTCCCAGTCCATGAGTTCAAACCCCATGACTGGCATGCGTGTGTGTGTGTGTGTGTGTGTGTGTGTGTGTGTGTGTGTGTGTGTGTGCGCACACACACAAATTGTTGTGCTTCTAGTAAAACAGGAACAGAAGGAGAGCAGTTCTAACACAGAGACCATTGTGAATGTGCAAAGAAGCTTGGTCTTGGACAAATAAATGTTGAGAAGGAAACAGTGGGCAGGGTTAGGGACCATCTCAAAACAGGGAACATTTGTAATCTTACCTACTTAGGAGGTTGAGATCTGAGGATCGTGGTTTGAGGGCCAGCCCCGGGCAGGAAAGTCCATGAGACTCTTATCTAAAATTAACCAACAAAAAGCTAAAAATAGAGCTGTGGTTTTACTTTTAACCTTGAGGAGAAAAAGCTAAGTGACTGTGCCCAGGTCTTGAGTTTAAAGCCCTAGTATCACTACACACAAACATTCTATCAGTGTTTCTAATACTAGCAATGCTAGAACTATACCTTGGCAAATTAAACATTTGTGTATGTGTTTATTATAAAGAAAATTTAGGAAAATCTTGTGTAAAATAATATTTTA